GGTCCTTGAAAAAATATTCTTTAAAAAATCTACGCCTTATTTGGTCCTTGAAAAAATATTCTTTAAAAAATCTACGCCTTATTTGGTCCTTGAAAAAAAAAAATTTTTAAAAAATCTACGCCTTATTTGGTCCTTGAAAAAATATTCTTTAAAAAATCTACGCCTTATTTGGTCCTTGAAAAAATATTCTTTAAAAAATCTACGCCTTATTTGGTCCTTGAAAAAATATTCTTTAAAAAATCTACGCCTTATTTGGTCCTTGAAAAAATATTCTTTAAAAAATCTACGCCTTATTTGGTCCTTGAAAAAATATTCTTTAAAAAATCTACGCCTTATTTGGTCCTTGAAAAAATATTCTTTAAAAAATCTACGCCTTATTTGGTCCTTGAAAAAATATTCTTTAAAAAATCTACGCCTTATTTGGTCCTTGAAAAAATATTCTTTAAAAAATCTACGCCTTATTTGGTCCTTGAAAAAATATTCTTTAAAAAATCTACGCCTTATTTGGTCCTTGAAAAAATATTCTTTAAAAAATCTACGCCTTATTTGGTCCTTGAAAAAATATTCTTTAAAAAATCTACGCCTTATTTGGTCCTTGAAAAAATATTCTTTAAAAAATCTACGCCTTATTTGGTCCTTGAAAAAATATTCTTTAAAAAATCTACGCCTTATTTGGTCCTTGAAAAAATATTCTTTAAAAAATCTACGCCTTATTTGGTCCTTGAAAAAATATTCTTTAAAAAATCTACGCCTTATTTGGTCCTTGAAAAAATATTCTTTAAAAAATCTACGCCTTATTTGGTCCTTGAAAAAATATTCTTTAAAAAATCTACGCCTTATTTGGTCCTTGAAAAAATATTCTTTAAAAAATCTACGCCTTATTTGGTCCTTGAAAAAATATTCTTTAAAAAATCTACGCCTTATTTGGTCCTTGAAAAAATATTCTTTAAAAAATCTACGCCTTATTTGGTCCTTGAAAAAATATTCTTTAAAAAATCTACGCCTTATTTGGTCCTTGAAAAAATATTCTTTAAAAAATCTACGCCTTATTTGGTCCTTGAAAAAATATTCTTTAAAAAATCTACGCCTTATTTGGTCCTTGAAAAAATATTCTTTAAAAAATCTACGCCTTATTTGGTCCTTGAAAAAATATTCTTTAAAAAATCTACGCCTTATTTGGTCCTTGAAAAAATATTCTTTAAAAAATCTACGCCTTATTTGGTCCTTGAAAAAATATTCTTTAAAAAATCTACGCCTTATTTGGTCCTTGAAAAAATATTCTTTAAAAAATCTACGCCTTATTTGGTCCTTGAAAAAATATTCTTTAAAAAATCTACGCCTTATTTGGTCCTTGAAAAAATATTCTTTAAAAAATCTACGCCTTATTTGGTCCTTGAAAAAATATTCTTTAAAAAATCTACGCCTTATTTGGTCCTTGAAAAAATATTCTTTAAAAAATCTACGCCTTATTTGGTCCTTGAAAAAATATTCTTTAAAAAATCTACGCCTTATTTGGTCCTTGAAAAAAAATATTCTTTAAAAAATCTACGTCTTATTTTGTTATTGACAAAAATATTCTTTAAAAAAAATCTACGCCTTATTTGTTCCTTGAAAAAATATTCTTTAAAAAATCTACGCCTAATTTGGTCCTTGAAAAAATATTCTTTAAAAAATCTACGCCTAATTTGGTCCTTGAAAAAATATTCTTTAAAAAATCTACGTCTTATTTGGTACTTGAAAAAAATATTCTTTACAAAATCTACGCCTAATTTGGTCCTTGAAAAAATATTCTTTAAAAAATCTACGTCTTATTTGGTACTTGAAAAAAATATTCTTTACAAAATCTACGCCTAATTTGGTCCTTGAAAAAATATTCTTTAAAAAATCTACGTCTTATTTGGTACTTGAAAAAAATATTCTTTACAAAATCTACGCCTTATTTGGTCCTTGAAAAAAAATATTCTTTAAAAAATCTACGCCTTATTTGTTGATTGAAAAAATATTCTTTAAAAAATCTACGCCTTATTTGTTGATTGAAAAAATATTCTTTAAAAAATCTACGCCTTATTTGTTGATTGAAAAAATATTCTTTAAAAAATCCACGCCTTTGGTGGGTGCTTGAAAAAATTTTCTTTAAAAAATCTACGCCTTATTTGTATGATTGAAAAAATATTCTTTAAAAAATCTACGCCTTATTTGTTGATTGGAAAAATATTCTTTAAAAAATCTACGCCTTATTTGTTGATTGAAAAAATATTCTTTAAAAAATCTACGCCTTATTTGTTGATTGAAAAAATATTCTTTAAAAAATCTACGACTTATTTGTTGATTGAAAAAATATACTTTAAAAAATCTACGCCTTATTTGTTGATTGGAAAAATATTCTTTAAAAAATCTACGTCTTATTTGTTGATTGAAAAAATATTCTTTAAAAAATCTACGCCTTATTTGGTCGTTGAAAAAATATTCTTTAAAAAATCTACGTCTTATTTGGTCCTTGAATAAATATTCTTTAAAAAATCTACGCCTTACTTGGTCCTTGAAAAAATATTCTTTAAAAAATCTACGCCTTATTTGGTCCTTGAAAAAATATTCTTTAAAAAATCTACGCCTTATTTGGTCCTTGAAAAAATATTCTTTAAAAAATCTACGTTGAAGCGTATCAACTCTATTTTATTCAAATTTTAATTACAATAGTATAAACACATACGTTTTATTGATCACTTAAATACTAAAATGCAACTCAGTTTTAAACATTTGAAATTAAGGTTAACTATGTAAATATTTTGTAAATAGTACTAAAAACTACATCTGTGAATCTACTACATTATTACACAACCAATACTAGACGATGATCTTGCTTCTCATAATTAGTACCTAAGCTCAATCTAATTTCAATAAAATCAGCTTCACTCCGAGTCCTGGACCACCCGGCTCTAATTCGTTTAGCGGACACTGAAGGCTTAAGATCATTACCCACGCTTGCCCAAGTTGATGGACTAGATCATAAGCGGGAAGTAGTTCCTAAACAAGGAGTAGCCAACATTATTTTAAATCTTGGTGTTTCGAGTTGCTTTATTGACGCCCAACGTGGGGCAAGCATTATTGAAACCCAAGGAGCTTTCTTTAACGTCTTATTTTGTAATTGACAAAAATATTCTTTAAAAAAATCTACGCCTTATTTGTTCCTTGAAAAAGTATTCTTTAAAAAATCTACGCATAATTTGGTCCTTGAAAAAATATTCTTTAAAAAATCGACGCCTATGGCTTTACAGGTGGCTCAAATAAATTCTTTAAAAAATCGACGCCTAATTTGGTCCTTGAAAAAATATTCTTTAAAAAATCTACGTCTTATTTTGTTATTGACAAAAATATTCTTTAAAAAAAATCTACGCCTTATTTGTTCCTTGAAAAAATATTCTTTAAAAAATCGACGCCTAATTTGGTCCTTGAAAAAATATTCTTTAAAAAATCTACGTCTTATTTGGTACTTGAAAAAAATATTCTTTACAAAATCTACGCCTTATTTGGTCCTTGAAAAAATATTCTTTAAAAAATCTACGCCTTATTTGGTCCTTGAAAAAATATTCTTTAAAAAATCTACGCCTTATTTGGTCCTTGAAAAAATATTCTTTAAAAAATCTACGCCTTATTTGGCATTTGAAAAAATATTTAAAAAATCTACCCCTTATTTGGTCCTTGAAAAAATATTCTTTAAATAATCTACACCTTATTTGGCCTTTGAAAAAATATTCTTTAAAAAATCTACGCCTTATTTGGTCCTTGAAAAAATATTCTTTAAAAAATCTACGCCTTATTTGGCATTTGAAAAAATATTTAAAAAATCTACCCCTTATTTGGTCCTTGAAAAAATATTCTTTAAAAAATCTACGCCTTATTTGGTCCTTGAAAAAATATTCTTTAAAAAATCTACGCCTTATTTGGCATTTGAAAAAATATTTTTTATTAAATAATACACATTTGTTTAATTGTTTAAATATATATTTTTTACATTTCTATTCCTTTTCTTATTAATTTCATTTTTCCAGTATTGTTGATTACATGTCTTTTAATATTTTGATTTCATTGTTATATATAATTATTATTATTTTTTTTTAAGTTTTACAAAATCCGAAAAATCACATTAAGTAGTAGGCAAAGTAGTAACGAACGAAAAAACTAAAATTTGTTAATTTTTTGTTTAAATTTTAAATGAATTTTTTTTAATAGGTGGTCATTTTTTGTGATCAAAAATAATTTCATGCAAACAATTTTTTATTTCATTTTTTGTTTTTATAATTTTTTAATTCAAAATTTGTTAGACTATATAATTAATTAATGATTATCAATTAGTTAAGGTCATGTACTTAATACGAATATGTGTGTGTGTGTTTCTGTGTGTATATGTTAAGTATGCGTGTGTATGTATTTATACATATATATATGAGAAAAATATGCGCGTGTATATGTGTGTTTTAATGCAGGTATATATGTCAATTTGAAATGTATCTTTATTTGTGTGTTTGTATTAATTATTACTTATATTTTATTAGTATTATTGTTATTAGTTTTTTTATTTATCTTCTGCTTATATTATTATTATTTTTATATAATTAATTTTTTGAAAATAATAATAAATTGGTGTTTTTTTCTTATCATAACTTTCTTAAATTTTAACAAAAGAATGCAGAAAGAAAAAAAAATAGACAGAAGAGTGGGATTCGGGGTGGGGAGGAGCATAAAAACATTTTGTTATATGTTGCACATATGTTGTCATTAATAAATGGTTTTTGTATTTTGTGAGTATGTGTGTGGTTTTATTTTATAGACTAAATGGGTCCTTAGGATTACAATTGTTCGGAAACAGCTGTTGTAAAAATACTAAACATCCGTTTCCCACTTTTTTGTTTAATATGCACTTCCGTTTCAAATGGTTCGTGGTCATTTCGTTTTGTGAGTCTCTGTGTGTGTGAGTGTGGTTTGTTTTTGTAGTCTCTTGTTGTTGTTGTTGTTGCTTACAAAAACTTTGATATGTAACGTTTTTGTATTAAACGTCCAGCTTTCTTTTTTAGTACACAAAAACGTATTAACTGCTAATCAGCATAATTTGTGGTCTGCGGTGGCACTCTGGGATAGAGCTGCAAAAGAAGAGGAAGAGAAGGAAAATATTAAATTAGTTCCCATTTCCCTGTTATATTTCAATATTCATTGACATTTATACTTACTCCCAACAGATTACGTGGCACATATCCCTCCTCGTTTTGTTCATTTTTCGCCCACCACCATTCACTTTCCGCATCGTCACCCTTCCTCAAAATTATAAGGCGATCATTGACGGTAAATGTCAATTCGTCGCTATTTTGTGCTTCGTAGGAGAATACAGCATACACTTCACCGCCGTGAAGTATGCCAAGTTTTTCTTGGATGCCTGAAATTGGGGTAGGAGGGAATATGGAAATTAAAAAATAATTAAAAAAAGTAACAGAAAAAAATATGTTCAGCAAATTCCATGGTCCCCAGGACCACATTTTTTATAAAAAAATCATTTATCTAACAGGTCTTCAATTCTACAATTTTCTATAGAAAAAATTCTGCTAACCCACAGGTCTGTGTTATTTTTCTATAGAAAAAAAATTTGCTGACCCCCAGGTCTGTGATTATTTCTGTAGATGTTAAATTGTAAACAAAGTACAGGTCGCATTTATGATCCGATTTGGATGAAATTTGGCACAAGTCACTTATTTGGCACAAGGACGAACCCTATTGAAATTGGGAAAAATCGGTTCAGATTTAGATATAGCTCCCATATATAGTTTCGTCCGATTTAAAGTAAATGGTGCACCAAAGTCCCTAAAAAGCATTCGATTTGCATAAAATTTGGCACAGAGTATAGAATTAGGTGCAGAAGGATGTGTGTCAAGTTTCGAGAAAATCGGTTCAGATTTAGATATAGCTCCCATATATAGTTTCGTCCGATTTAAAGTAAATGGTGCACCAAAGTCCCTATATATCCTTGGATTTGCACGAAATTTGGCATAGGGTACTGAATTGGGTCCAGAATGAAATTTTTTATGAAAATCGGTGTACATTTAGATATAGCTCCCATACATATTTTCGTCCGATTTAAGGTAAATTGGTCTCCAAAGTCTCTATATATATTTCGATTTGCACGAAATTTGGCATAGGGTACTGAAAAATGATGTGTGCTACGTTTCCAAAAAATCTGTGGTTTTAGATATAGCTACCATATATAGCTTCGTCCCCCAAGGTAAATGGGGCATTTTCCTTATATATCTTTCGATTTGCACGTAATTTGGCATAAAGTACTGAGTTAGGTCAAGAATGATGTGTGCCAAGTTTCGAGAAAATGGGGTCAGATTTATATATAGCTCCTATATATATTTTCCTGCGATTTAAGGTATATGGGTCTCCAAAGTCCCTATATATCTTTGGATTTGCACAAAATTTGGCACAGCGTACTGAATAAGGTCCAGAACGGTGTGTGTTAACTTTTGTGTAAATCGGTTCAGATTTAGATATAGCACCCATATATAATTTCGTCGGATAGATAAATGGTTCAACAAAGACCCAAAGTTAGGCCGATTGACAATAATTTGGCACAACGTTTTCACAAGTGAACAATTTAGTATATGTGGCAGAATAACATGTTTATGGATCCAATTGCATTTTACAGGTCCTTCAAAAATTCGACGTCTGTTAGGATTTATTTGTTGAATATGCCCACAGTGGTGAAGGGTATCATATAGTCGGCCCCGTCCGACCACAGGTCTGTGATTTTTTTTCTGTAGAAAAAATTCAGATGACCTCCAGGTCTGTGTTTTTTCTATAGAAAAAAAATTGTGTGATTTGTTCAATACAATAAAATTCTGCAGACCCCCAAAAAGCACTATTTTTTCCATAGACAAAAATTCTGAAGACCTGGGATCCTTTTTTGACACTCATAATATAAATTTATATATGTTCAATACTCACTGTACAAATACTCCGAACAACCATCGAAACCTTCTTCATCCTCTTCGCATTTTTCGGCGGGTGTTTCATGATCCGACAATGTGGCCGCAAATAAGCAGGCGCCATTCTCCACCAGAAACTTAACCATGGCCAAATTATTACAACTGGCGGCACAATGCAGCGGTGTCCAACCATCGGAATCTTGGGCATTGACATCACAACCAAATTCAACCAGGAATCTAAAAGAAATAATAGATTAAAAAATAAAATTACCACTACTCCTTCTTCCTCCTCTCTCACTATTTCTTCTACTCACTTGACTATATCGATATGGCCAGCACAAATGGCATTGTGCAGCGCTGTAATACCCTCATCATTGGCTGCACTGGGATTGGCAACTTGCATGGCAGTTTTCTTAACTAATTCCAGTTCACCTTCCAGACTGGCATCCAGTAGCAGGGCCAAGGGGTCGAAACTAACGCGGCGTGTTAGTTTGGGTTTACCATTACCGGGAGTCGAATTATTGTTACCCGATGACATGCCACGTAGACGACGCTTCAGGCTGTCGGGTGACTTATCTTCGGTTATTTGATTTCCGCTATTGGCATCGGAACGATCAGGTTCATCGTGATTCGCGGAGGATTGCTGTGGGGTATTCGATTGGTTTTGGGGAATATTTGGAGAATATTGTGGCGTGGAATTGGCTTCACTATTGCTTTCCGAATTCGCTTCCGAGGCGGCGGCAGAATTCAGGGATCTTCTTTCATTGTAAAGATAATTGTTGCTGGAATTTATTTCCGATTTTCGGGAATTTTGTTGGCCGGAATTTGATTTGTTGTTGTTGGTGGTGGAGGATTTGAGACGAGGCTGTTCGGATAGAGGTTGTTTTCGTATTGTCAAAGGTTTCGCCTTGATGGGTAAATTATCGTTGATGTTTTGTATGGGCAAGCTTGAAGAGGCGGAACTAGATGAGGATGAGGGTGTTGTTGTCGATGTTGCAGAGTTAGAGGTTTCTGTGGGAGATTTCTTCGGCTCTTGGGCTGTGACCTCTGCTCCTGACATCTTGTGGGGCTTTGGAGGCAATGCTGGCCTATCCGAGGCTGTGGAATTACTCGCCACTGTTGTGGTCGATGATGAGGCTGTGGAAACCGTTGTTGCCAGGCTAGAACTAACTACATTGGGTGCTACCCGATTAACTTTTGGACTGTAGGTAATCATTTTGGGTATGGAGCTAGAAACCGATGTGGGTGCCACACTGCTGATGGGCTTACGGGGAGGTACTGCTAAATTGCCCGATGACAAGGGTTTGGGTTTTGGGGTGGCATTTTCGCAGCTGTGGCTGGAGTTGGTTGTGGTGGTGGTGCTGGTAGCTGAGGATGTTGTGCTGTTCGATACCCCTGTGGCCACCGATTTATTGGCCGCACCCAGTGGCATACTGTGAACCGTCAACTGATGGGTGTTCTTCTCCAGCAGTGTCTCACTGGTCACCGAAATTTCCGCCTTCTTTTCCAAATCGGATTTTTCCCTTTGAGGTATGTGGCTACCACTGGCGGCATTGTTCAGTTTGCTAATTAAAGCTGAGGCAGATGTGGCGGTGGTAATGCTTTTGGGAATTTTACTTGTGGGTTGGGAGCTGGCGGCCGAGCTGGCTGTTTGGGCTTCCAGATTGGCCGCGACCTCCTTGACCAAATCACGTTTTTTCGGACCCACCTCAGCATAAATATGATGCGAGGTATCCACCTTGTTGGCAACGGTCGATGGTGGGGGTGGTGCTGGTGGTTCGGTAACCTGGACTTGGGGTGCTGCTTCCGAACTATGCAGCTGTTTGCTGGTTATGGCAGCTGTCAACATTTTCTTGGCCAATTTCGATTCATCACTTTCGGCCATAAAGAAATTCGGACTTGTATTGCTACCCGGCGACGAAGTCAAGTGGCCTGGTGGTCCAGCCTGACCACTTACAGGATGACTGGCCGCCAAGTTCAGTTTTGCATGGGTATGCTCTTGTATCAGCTGATTTTGTTGATTGGTATTGGCCGTAGCGGCAGCATGTTTCAGGATATTACCCAAGTAGCTGGAGGTTGGTGTAATGGTGGATTTTTGTGGGGTATGGATATAGGGTTCGACGGCCGCCACATTGCCTCGGGGTATATTGCGATTATCATTTGCCCGATTAATGATATTGGCAAATTTGTTGTTGTAGCCCGGTTGGTTGCCATTGGCGGCGGCTGCTGCTGCCGCCGCAGCTGCCTGATTGGCTTGTTTTTGTAGCAACTGTTGTTTTAAGGCAGCTACCCCGGTTTTGGGGGCCATATGATTAGGGGGATAATTTGCGGAACCATCCAAAAGTTCGGCGGTTCTACCCGGAGCTGCATTAAAGGCATTGTGATTTTGTGGTGTCGTATGTTGTTGTTGCACTTGATTTTGTTGTACTTGTTGTTGTTGATGCTGCTGTTGTTGGGTTGCTATGATATGATTCGGACTAATATTCGATTGTTGTGGCTGATGTTGTTGCACTTGCTGCGACTGTTGTTGTTGTTGTTGCTGCGACTGATGCTGCTGCTGTTGATTCGTTTGTACATTGGCTGCCTTTTTACGCTGCAAACGCGTTTGCAGTTCATAAATTCGCTGATCGACTGATCTTAATTCGGCTTGTCTTTGTTGTAAGGCTTCACGCTGTAAGTGGAGACGTGCATCTTGTTGCAGTGACAGCTGATTTCGATACTGTAAGGGGAGATGTGTGTTTTTTTAGTTTTTGTAATGGTTCATAGATTATTTGAAATTAGATTTATTTTTTTTCTTATTTTTAATATTTTTGTTGTTGTTATTTCCACTTACCATCAATTCTCTTCGTAACTTTTCCAATTCTCTGGAGGCCTGTGGCGGCAATGGCTGACCCGTGGTACTGCCACCTGCTATTAAATTTATGGGACATCTTCGATCGCGCCGCAAATCTTCCAGCTGCCGTGTTAAAGCTTCTACTTTGGCCACAGCCAAACTCAGTTCTTTTTCCTTTTCACTGAAAAGGGCACGTATTGAGTCTAAATCGTTGCCTGAAAGATGGGGGAAAGAGGAAGGAAATAAAATAGTCAACTAGTCATACGATAAAAATTATGGAAAATCCTAATAATTTTTGGTCAATAGAAAAAAAATCAAAAACTTAGATCTATATAAAAAATATCGAAATATCCAATAAAAAAATTCGTCAAAAAATCAGATTTCAATTGTTAGATCTTTTTTCAAGACCTGTGGTTGCTGGATTTGGTCTTGGTGGTTGTTTTGACTGGGGATGTTGCGGCCCTGTGCCCACCGATGAGTATTTATACCCTTCACCACACTGTAGTACAGGATATTATGACTTTGTGCATATGTATGTAACAGGCAAAGGGAAACGAGACAGACACATGGTTCCTTTTGAGAATATGCATAGAATCGCTTTCTAAGTCGATTTATGCATGTCCGTCCGTCTGCCCGTCCATGATAAATTGTAAACAAAATACAGGTCGCATTTATGATTCGAATTGGATGAAATCTGGCACACCTCATTTATTTGGCCCAAGGACGGACCCTATTGAAATTGGGAAAAACCGATTCAGATTTAGATATAGCTCCCATATATATTTTCGCCCGATTTAATGTAAATGGTGCACCAAACTCCCTAAATATCTTTAGATATGCACGAAATTTGGCACATCGTAATGAATTAAGCCTAGAACGACGTGTGCTAAGTTTCGTGAAAATTTTTTAAGATTTAGATATAGCTCCCATGTATTTTCGTCCTATTTAAGGTAAATGGTGCACCAAAGGTCCTATTTATCTTTCGATTTGCACGAAATTTGCCCTAGCGTACTGACTAAAGTCTATAATGATGAGTACTAAGTTTCGTAAAAATCGGTTCAAATTTAAATGTAGCTCCCATATATATTTTCGTCCGATTTAAGGTAAATAGTGCACTAATGTCCCTAAATATCTTTCGATTTGCACGAAATTTGGCACAGCGTACTGAATAGAGCCTAGAATGATGTATGCTAAGTTTCGTGAAAATCGATGCATATTTAGATATAGCTCCCATATATATTTTCGTCCGATTTAAGGTAAATGGTGCACCAAAGACTCTATATGTCTCTCGATTTGCACGAAATTTGGCACAGTATACTGAATTGAGTCTAGAATGATGTGTGTTAAGTTTCGTGAAAATCGGTTCAGATTTAGATATGGCTCCCATATATATTTTCGCCCGATTTAATGTAAATGGTGCACCAAAGTCCCTAAATATCTTTAGATATGCACGAAATTTGGCACATCGTAATGAATTAAGCCACGAATTATGTGTGCTAAGTTTCGTGAAAATCGGTTAAGATTTAGATATAGCTCCCATATATATTTTCATCCGATTTAAGGTAAATGGTGCCCCAAAGCCCTTAAATATATTTCGATTTTCGCGAAATTTGGCACGAATTGAGCTTAGAATGATGTATGCTAAGTTTCGTGAAAATCGATTCAGATTTAAATATAGCTCCCATATATATTTTCGTCCGATTTAAGGTAAATGGTGCACCAAAGTCCCTATATATCTTTCGATTTGCACGAAATTTGGCATAGCGTAATGTATTAGGTCTAGAATGATGTATGCTAAGTTTCGAGAAAATCGATTTAGATTAAGATATAGCTCCCATATGTATTTTCGTCCGACTTAAGGTGCCCCAAAGTCCATAATTATCTTTAGATTTGCAAGAAATTTGGCACATCGTTATGAATTAAGCCAAGAATTATGTGTGCTAAGTTTCGTAAAAATCGATTCAGATTTAGATATAGCTCCCATATATATTTTCGTCCGATTTAAGGTAAATGATGCACCAGGGACCCTGTATATCTTTCGATTTGCACGAAATTTGGCACAGTATACTGAATTGAGTCTAGAATAATGTGTGCTAAGTTTCGTAAAAATCGGTTCAGATTTAGATATAGCTCCCATACATATTTTCGTCCGATTTAATGTAAATGATGCACCAAAGACCCTATATGTATCTCGATTTGCACAAAATTTGGCATAGTGTGCTGGATTGTGTTTAGAATGATGTGTGCTAAGTTTCGTGAAAATCGGTTCAGATATAGATATAGCTCCCATATATATTTTCATTCGATTTAATGTAAATGATGCACCAAAGGCCCTATATATCTTTCGATTGGCACGAAATTCGGCACAGTATACTGAATTGAGTCCAAAATGGTGTGTGCTAAGTTTCGTGAAAATCGGTTCAGATTTAGATATAGCACCTATATATTTTCGTCTGATTTAATGTGAATGGTGCACTAAAGACCCTATATATTCTTCGATTTGCACGAAATTTGGCATAGCTTACTAAATTGTGTCTAGAATGTACGATATACCCAAAGTGGTGAAGGGTATCATATAGTCGGCCCAGTCCGATTTTACTACTTTTCTTACTGGTTTTATTTAAAATAAATGTCCTGAAAGAATTAATTTTATATCATAAATATTTATTGAACTTGTATGTGTATATCACATAATTTTAAGGGTGTGGTGAGTTTTTCTTGAAATTCACCACGGACCTAAAATGCTTTAAATTTGTTCTCTTAAAAAATAAAGTCCATATTCGTTTGTTTCGTTCCATGTCGATACTTCAAACGATGTTTTTTTAATTGTTCACTATTTCATTTTTTTAGAGAAAAAGTCTGAACTCAATTAATGTGAACGATTGCAATTCTAATTGACCTACTTATTATAAAAACTAAACACTCAACGGTAGTAGATTTTCATTGTATATATGTAAGATTGTGTGCTAACACTCACATCTATATATATTATGGACACACTGGGAAATCACTACAGATTATACAAATAATCCACTTATACGCTTTCGCACCGCCAGCTTCACTGCGAATAATAGTCCTTCCCCTGACACTGCAAATAATATTGTTGTACTTGTTTTTGTTGAGGCCAAGATGCCGGTAATGTTTTCCCAAAAAAAAATTGCCCTACTTTATTACATTGTACTTTTCTTCTTATTAGGTGAAATGAGCAAAAAACCTCGAACACGTGCTTATTTCAACACCTACCTCAACATGTTTGTAAATGATGTGTTTTGTTGGTGTCGAGTTTTTTTTTGTTGTAATTTTATTTTATTTTCTCTTGATGGCATGTTGTTGGCTTTTTTTTGGCACATTAAAACTGCCAACAAGTGAATAACAACGGAAACGTGCCAACAACACCAATTCTAGATTTATGTTCGAGGGAACATTAATGGGTGGTTGTATCAAACCGGTGGCAGGGGAATATCAGCAACTGGTTGGTAATTCAAAATAAAATTATTCTTTGGATACCATCATCTTGTTATGAGAAAATTTTCTGAGAGCTTCAAAAAATGCTGAGGAGTTCGATTTATTAGAGTATATAGGTCTTCTCATTTATGTAGGAGAGGTATTCTTAAATATATAAGACCTCATAGATAAAATGCTTTGGAGGTATTCTCAGGTCTTCAAATATTTGGCAGACCTCAAAAGGTCTACTTATAAATTGAGAACGTCAGGATATCAGGAGGTTTACACATATATCGAAGTCCTCAGGAGGTCTTTTCATATTTATAACACAGCTCTACTCATTGATATAATGCCTCGGGAGGTTTTTACATATTTAGAGGACCTCAATATGTCTTCTGACTTATAAAATACCTAATTTGGACCTCGGGGAGTTTTTTTTTATATGGATGACCTGAGGAGATATTTTCCTATACAGATTTATTTTGGAATTATATAATTATTTTGTTATCACTCCCTACTTACCTACCAAGCAGAAATTCAGGAAGTCTACTCATATATCGAAGTTCTCAGGAGGTCTTTTCATATTTATAAGACAGCTTTAGTCATTGATATAATGCCTTGGGAGGTTTTTACATATTTAAAGGACCTCAAGAGTCTTCACATATGTTGAAGACCTCAGGAGGACCACCAATATTTAGTACATCTCAGGATGGCTATTCATATATAGAATACCTTGGGTAGCCTTCTCACATATATAAGTCCTAAGATGGAGGTTATCCCAAAAAAAAAAAAAGATTTTAGTGTGGCTTTTAAATTCGGACTTCTTCTCCACTATTTAGAGACATGAGAAGGTATTCCCAGGTCTTCACATATTTGGCAGACCTCAAAAAGTCCACACATAAATTGAGAAGGTCTACTCATATATCCAAGCCCTCAGGAAGTTTTCTCATATTTATAAGACAGCTTTACTCTTTGATAAAATACCTCATAAGGTCTTCACATATTTAGAGGACCTCAACAAGTCTTCAAATATATTGGAGACCTCAGAAGGACTTTCCATATATCCATTTATCTCAGGAAGTCTGATCACATATTAAAAAAAACTACTTGGGAAGTCTACTCACATATAGAAGTCCTTGGAAGTACTTCTCATATATAGAAGACAACAATATGTCTTCTTACTTATAAAATACCTCATTTGGGCCTCGGGGAATTTTTTATATAGATGACCTGAGGAGATATTTTCCTATACAGATTCATTTTGGAATTATATAATTATTTTGTTATCACTACCTACTTATCTACCTATACAGAAGTTAAAAACCACATATCCCCTATCGTTACTTACACACACATGTTCTAACCAAATTTATGTTTGTGTAAGGAATATCATCGAACAAATTAAGTTTGCCCACCGAACAGTTGGTACATTCATGTTTAACATACTTACGAGTACATATATAAAATTGTGTGTAAATTTACATATGAAATTTGCTTGCGACCCGCTAACGAACCGATAAATTTTACTTGGACAATAGCTGAAGATGATTGGGTGGGTCCATAAACCAGAGGATATACTTGGGCGTGAGGGTGTGTATGTGCTCACATGTGGATTTGGGAGCGACTGTTGTGGATTTTGTGAAGGAGTGAATATTAACAACTTGCATATATATGTGTGTGTGTGGGAGATAGTTATATGTATGTAGTTGTTGGTCATTACAACTACATACATATATGTAGCAAAATATGTTTTTGTTGTTGAATGAAGTAT